TTTTTTTCATTCAATTAGTTTTTTTTTTTTTTTTTTTTAATATGTCTATAGAGTTTTTAGGGTTTTTTAAATGAAAATTAGAATTTTTTTCTTTAGCTGAAGTAAAAGTAATTTTTAAATATTTTATTTTAGTTGATGTTTATTTTCTTTCAACTAACAAAGATGTTTTCGATGAGAAAATTCAGTGAGATTATTGAAGTTCAACCATACAATTGTGAAAAAAAATGCAATGAGAGTTAAGTTCATACGGTTGTGTAGTTATATAAAAAAATATATATTTTACTCAAAATCTAAATGTTTAATTTATATTAATGCAAATTTTTATATGTATTAGAAATGTTAAAATTAAATACATTTTAATATTTTTAAATATAAATTTTACTTTTTAATATATTAGAAATTTAAAAAAGTTCAAAAATAGGAAAATGCATTAAGATTATCTAATAGTCACAAGTTTCACGTAAACAAACACAAAGCCTCAGTCTGTCCGTGTTTGTCCGCAGGATCCCTCATCCCAGTGAAAAGCATCATGGTCTAGCTGACTGTGTGCTGGAGCTCGGCGGCTCTCAGGCGTTTTCTCTCCCGCCGCTGCCGGACGAATCACGTTCCCTCTTTCACTTCTACATTCACGAGGAGGCCGTCAGAGACGCTGTGATTGGCCGAGGGAGGCGTTGTGGGTGGGGCCCCGGGCTCCACCTCCAGGGGGCGGCAGAGGACGAGAGAGGTGATGAAGACGAGCACTTCCTGTCCGACTTCCACATTCCGAACTTCGTGAGCTCCGAGCAGAACTCCAGCATCGGCAACGATGACTTCCTGCTGTGTGAGCCGCCAATCATCACAGACAGCCAATCGGCAGCTCTGAAGAGATTAGAGCCCGCCCACACTTCCTATGATGTCATCAGACACTAACACACAGACTCATTTCTCACATGGACAGTGACTGATTTTTAATGAGCTGCTTATTTTCAAGAAATGCAAATTGATACGAGGATATATGGCTCGTTTTTATTTTTTAAAGAAAGTGTTTATGCAGTAGATTACATTAGTGATCACAACATTTCTACAAGACTTTCACTATAAGGTATTCTGAACTCTAAGGTGACTTTATTTAGAGGTTTCTTTTTTTTATAAATTCTTTATTTTCTTTATATAAGAGATTATTTTCTCTTGTGGACTATATGTGAACATCTTTTATGTGAATATCTTATTCAGGTCAGCACTAAATAAACAATAACATGCATTTTGTATGATCCCTCTTACTTTGGTAAAATAATTAACATTTTGCAGATTCTGAAACTTTTGACCTCAACTGTATGTTTATAACAGTCGCTGTTCCTTCTGAGGAAAGATGAGAGATGACTTGTGTGTCTCTGGAGGAGTAAACGCCGCGATTAACGCATCTAATGACCACCAAACACACGGGTGGCAGTGCAAAGCATTCTAGGTAAGAGAACCGAAGAGCTAAAATGAGAGATTTATTCCAGTGTCCCGCGTCTCTCACAGGTCTATAATGAGCGTAATGGCACAGGCAGCGAGGACACGGCACTTATAACAGAGGAAAGAGGGGAATTGTTGTTTCCATGGAGATGAGAGTAATGTGTTATAATAGAAAAGAACATTCATATCGCTCTTATGCGATCTCTTTTGAGATTTCGCCTTGGTTTTCTTTGTTATGGAAATAAAGCAGCCCAGAGAAATCGTATGAAGGAAAAGTGATGGAGCTTGTGTAAATTCAGATGTGGATATCGAGTTGTAAGGCTCAGAAAAGGTTCATGATCACCATGCATTTATAAAACAATGATCATCTTCAGAATAAAACACACACACACACGTCTACAGTTGACTATAATGTTTGACATACTGTAGTGTGTTACTATGGAAACAGAGCGGGATGGATAGTGAGGGACTATTGGATTCAAAGGTTGCATCCCATAAACACAAACAAACACGCACAAACTAACACTCACTCACACACACACACACACACACACACAAACACACTGACTCACACACACACACACACACACACACACACACACACA